TGCGAGCCAGTCAAGTGACTCGCCCTCATGGTCAAAGCGGTAGCCCTGGGCCTTCACCTCTGACGCGTGGGGCGAAGAAACGCAAAAAATGAAGATGTTTGGTTTGGGGGGCCTGGACCCTCAAGCTCTAAACGCTAAACCCTAGTAAAAACAGGCTCACATCTTTCAGCGCCCCAAGACTTCAAGCGGCAGCATGGACGCCCAAGAGCACATGCTTAAAGTTGTACCCAAGCTGCGCCCTTGCTTCATACGGGTTTGAACCCAAAACTAGCACAGCCCTACATCCCAACCCGCAAGAAAACAGCTTGCTCGATGGCTCATGATGCTTTATGCCCTGTGAAGCTTATCACTCATCGTGTCGAAAACTCGGGGGGGGGGGGGGTGCTTGGATGGGGAGGGGGTGGTCTTACATCATAACTTCATAGCCATCTTCCAAAACCGCTATTGGACTCTGATGAAGACGAACGAAGGGAAAACAGTAACGAAAACCTGAAAACCACCCAAGAGACCCAACTAAACGCCCTATATATGAAACCTCGTGGGAACGCAGCGTCATGCGCAAGCCGTTGTACCTGGGCGACACTGACGGCTCCACGGCAAGGATTGCAGCGGAGGAATGGAAGACTCAGGGCGCCGAATTGTACGGCAGTTTAGGGTTTTTGCCGCAGCCTCACATCACACTGCTGAAGGGATGCAAATGTTTGCAAGAGTCCTTGAAAGCCACTAGAGCGAACCAATCCTTTGAGCCGAAGAAGTGAGCCACAAGCTGTCACTACACCCCCTGTATGCCAGCGGCAGGACGTCCTACAGACTTCAGGTGCTGTCATAGCTGCCTAAGCCTCGACGAAGCGCACGACTCAAGCATACAGAATCTCATGATACAATCATTGCACTCGCAGTCCATGGATATAGAATACTCATGCAAAAAGGTGCACTAATGGCTCAGGCAATCAATTCCGGCAGTTCGCTCTCTTCGAGGATGACCAGCTCAGGATACCGTCTCAAGGCAAGCAGCGTGAACATGGTGTTGGAGAATGGATGACACCCAATGCCAAGCAAACGATCCCGAAATGTCTCAAATTCATGCGCGTCGCGTGCCACCATCCATGCAGCGGCAATCAATTTCATAGGCCTGTAAACTCACATGCGGCATGCCGCCGTTCATGCAGTGTCCAACGCAGTCACAGGCAATATGCCATCATCCACGCAGTGGCCTCCGCATTCAAGACACCAAGGTGCGGGGCTTAGCTTTGAGGCTTACAGGACGTCCTTCCCCCTAGGGGTGCACTATGGAGCGCTCCGGCAGCGTGCGTGACATCATGTTTCCTTTTCATGTGTACGAGCTGACCTAAAGCACGAAAGCTCGCAGCCCCTGCATTCGTTGGCTTGTCATAATATAAGCCAAGACACATGATTGCGGAAAGCCGTGCGCGCTAAGACGGACTTTGACGCAAAGCTATGCCATGGACGCAAGCGACATCGCGAGCGAAAACAAGGACACTCCATTTCATTTCACAGGTGTGCAACGAAGATATTGAGGACCTATTTGAGCTCTTCGACCCCTAAACCAGCTTGGAACCCTAGAAGCCTAAACTTTAAACCCTCAAGCCCTAAAACCCTGAAAGCCTAAAACCCTAAAACCCTAAAAACCTAGAACCCCAAAACCCTATCTTGGACTCAAGCGACCCAAAGCTTTCCAGCAGCGTAACCCTAAACCCTAAACCGTAAGGTCTTCTGAAATCTGTCGTCTGCATCAAACCACGACTTCGCCGTCCCGCATGCCAAGCTGCGCTCAGGGTTTAGGGTTTAGGGTTTAGGGTTTAGGGTTTAGGGTTTAGGGTTTAGGGTTTAGGGTTTAGGGTTTAGGGTTTAGGGTTTAGGGTTTAGGGTTTAGGGTTTAGGGTTTAGGGTTCATATACCTTTATAGGGATTATAGTGGTATAGGGACCAACACCTCTCAACTACCTCGGCACTCCAACCAACTCCTCCTGCCTCCACCACTCAGGGTTCAGGGCTTAGGAAGCGTAAGGAAGAAGTCTAGGGTTTCTTCCCTTGCTATCATCAACAGCATTGTTTTGGTTCAGAGAAGTGGTCCCGCGAATCCACAAAACCGGAAAAGATGGAACAAAAACACGGAGATGAACGACAATGAAGCTACACCTGTGCTGTTGCAATTAATCAAAATCCAGACCCTAAATGCTAAACCCTAAGCCCTAAAACCTAAACCCTAAACCCTCAACCCTACACCCTCAACCCTCAACCTTCACCGCAGCCCGGCAGCTGCATGAAGTTCCTCGACACATCGGGGCCGAACCTGGCTCTCACGACACATTCTTTGGGATGTTCCCCCTTTTGTACTAACAGTCCTTCATAGAGATTAGGGTTGAGGGTTTAGGGTTTTAGGGTTTTAAGGCTTTAGGGTTTTATTAGGGCTTTAGGACTTTAATTTAGGGTTTTAGGGTTGCAAGGTTGATGGTGGAAGTAGGGGCGCCTACTACTACTTCGTTTGCAGTCATCCCTCTTGGAAGACTACGAGTTGGCTCAACAAGAAACGGTGCGACGCTTTGAGGGCCTCGCGTCCCTTCGAACGCCTCTTTTCGCACACAGGTCTGAGCCAACACAGACAGACAGAGAAAACATAGATGACAACGGCGCAGCACGACCCCAAATGGCGCGCTTGTCAAAAGATCTGACCGTGCCTTGCTGAACTCTGCATGGTAAGCATGTATCTCGTGCGCCTGCGAATGTACTTCACACATCTGTTGCGACTTGACGGCGTGTGTGCTCCGAACTGGTTACCGCATGTAGGATACTGTCGGATCCCGACCACGGACAACAACTTGATCACCTTCTCGGATGATCAAGAGCTGAAGGGGCTCATTAGCGAAGAAATGTGCGAGATGTTGCGAGACCTAGGGAGCTTGAAGCACCCTGCCGCTGGACTGGCTGACGAAACAATCCCCTGGCCCATACCAGGCGTGGGCGAGCCCGACCTTCGGCTACTGGAAAAGGGGCTTCGAAACTCATACTGGGCGTTTTACATCAGAATTATGAAGGGTTTGTAGGCGGGGGTTATGCTCCCAAACATTCAATCACACCAGACCTTGCCAGAGCCGGAGTTCGGCAGACGCTTCTTCCATTTGCGTGAAACCCTGAATGCTGGTCAAACCCTGTTTCCGACCTGGACCATCAGCTAAGCACAGCCCTGGTTTTTGCACGTGCCGGTGAGGCAGGTAGATACCGGAGGACATGCGGCCAGAAGGTCCGTAGCCATCCTGGCCCAGGGGGTCCATGCGCATGGCGCTTCAGGGCCCGGGCCAGAACTGGCCAGCAAGTGGATCCGTGAGTTAGACTCAGCTATAGGCCCTGAACGTCCCTCATTCACCTCCAAACGCCCACATGTGGGATCTTAAGAGGCTCTCCTCGTAAAGCGCCAAGGGCGTCAGTGCTGATTATTGTTGCTTCGAACCTAGGATATCAGCAGCCATGAGGGAAAACTCTCTCAACCTCAACGGAGGGCGAGGAAGGAAACACTATTCAAGTATCTACTACGAACATCCCCACCCCAAAGTGTTCAGAAAATGCTCTGGGGTGGGCACTCCAGCAATGCAGTTCTTTGCGAGATTCTCTGCGGGATTCTCGGGGGGAGGGGGGGTGCTTCAGGGATACTCTGCGGGAAAGTCAGGAGCTTCCCATTGATACTCTGCAGGGTTCTTTGCAGATGAACCCTAAACCCTAAACCCTAAACCCTAAACCCTAAACCCTAAACCCTAAACCCGGCCCAGCGAACTATGCTCCCGGAGCCCTTGGACCCTGAACCCTGCAATTTGCCCTCCGGCCTTTCCCTTGGGGTCCGACCACAGCAAGTCCACCATCCTCAGCTGTTAGGGTTTAGGGTTTATGGGTGTAAGGTTTTTTTTTGCCACCCGCTTAGCTGACCTCTCGGACACTCTGCAGGGGAAAGTCTGGATACTCTGTATACGTTCGCCTTCGGCCACTTTGAAATCGCCACACGTTACAAAAACCCGCGAGCCCCCAGCTGGTACTTCAGAACCAATCAAGTAGCCTCAAACAAGAAACCAAAATTAAAAACTCCAAAAGGTAACAGCACCAACTCAAAAGCACCCTGCTTCTGGACTCCGAAAACACTCAGAGGCGGCCACCTGATCTGCATGAAGGCGTACAGATCTGAAACATTAAAGCTCTTCAAGCATTGAAGCTAAACCATCACTTGTCTTCCCCATGCAGCCAAGCAGCCAGTCACAACCATTTAGCTAAAACGGACAGCCAGGCTTGCTCAAGCTCTTGTACAGTGGCCGTACACGTCTAGCATCGCAAAACCAAAGGTGGGAGCAGTTTAACCACGTAACAGAAAGGCTAAGGATCAGATGGATAACCAAACAAAAGTAACCAGGTCAGGCCACAAGGCCAAATAGGACTCCCTAACTGCTCCATTTTGGGATGGCCCTTCCGGCTCTTCCCGACACTTGATTTGCGTCGGGTTGGAGAAGACCCGGGGGGTGATCTCAAGTTGCATTAACAACGATAGGATTCTTGTGAAACCTCCCAGCCCACACGGGCATGCCCAGGGTACTCCCCGGGGGTGGGACTGTGGAGTGGCGTAGCTCATTTCCGGAGGGTCTACAGCGGGTGCCATACCGCCGCAGGGCATTAATTTGCCTGTCTCAGCGTAAGGAGGTGGGCTTTGACCTGCCCGATGGATTAACCCTTGCTCAAGGGGCGTCCACCATTCCTCCACCCTCCGCCCCCACCCTGATCCTACCACGAGTCCGCTCTCTTAGGGCGGGGGGGCTTTCGCGCTGGCAAACGAGGCCGCGGCTCATCAGAAGGCCGGCCAGACTCCAGTATAGCGCGCCTGGAATTCACACACGCTGGTTGTGCTACTGTTTCTTTAGTTAGCCGCGGGCGGAAGACGAGTGGCTCGGTAACTCGTCCGGGGCTCTCCAGTCTGTTGTTGGCAACAGACTTCAACCGTACCATCAGGCTGCCGTCTGACTGTGGTCAGACGGGTGGCAGTGCGGCAACATACGCTGCACCAGTTCCTGGATGGATCCAAGGTTGTCTCCTTCTGCTCCGTTAAATGCATCAATGAGGTTGATCAAATCTTTCTTTGCCAATCGCGTTTCCACGGACAGAGCGTCTAGCATGCCACCCTGCAGTGACGGGGCGGTGTAGCCCTCAGCTTTGCTCTTCAGGTGCTCGTACACTGCAGATAAGGTACTCTCCAGATTGTTGTCGTTGACCATGTGGATCAATTTCAACTCCCACCATTCGTATTTGCGCTTCACGGTGACAAGTCTGTCATCTGTGAGACGTTGTTTGTGATAGCGGTATATCCTCGCATAAAACGCAAACTGGAGGGGACATTGATCACAAATTCCCATGATGGAGAGCATCTTAGTAGCCGCTGCCTTGGGAAAGTCGTCCGTGACGTTAAAGGTGACGGTGGCGGCGGCAAATGTCTTTCTGAGTTTCGGAAAGCTTCGCATGACAGCGCCTTTTTCCAGGGGCACAAAAATCCGACTGGTGAACTCCATGCGGCTTGTGGTGTCGATAAGTTTGTCGGCGGTCGCTCTCCCAGTGCGGTCTTGTGGTTCCAAGCTCATTCCGCTCAATGTGTACAAGATTGCGGTGATGACACCTAGGACTTGCCTGCAGGCCCTACCACTCTTGTCTTTCGTGCGGAATTTCTGTATGAATGACCATTTGTAACCCTTTCGGCGATCATCTCCTTCCCCGTTGATGAATTCTGATTCGGGCTTGGATGGATTGACCTTTTGAGACCCTCAATATGGTTTTAGCGGCATACTGGGCTTTCCACGCAACGAAGTCAATAATTTGTCGAATGTTGCTTGCATCTTCAAGCATGGACGGTAAGCATTCGACAAGTTCTTCGAGTGTGTACTCACTCCAGTCCCAAAGAGTGAAGATCGCTTCGGCGATGAAGTCGACAGTTCGATCCATAAACCAGTTGATGATATAATTACCAACTGATGTCAAACTATCCCCCGAGTATCGAATCATGACCTCGGTGATGAGTGTGACAGTGTCAAAGAGGATCGTGTCTTTCTTCTTCCACCGAGTCTTTGCAGAGTTTTTGTAGTCTGCGGAGTCGGGGAAGCGTTTCGCCACAGCGTTCATCAATGCTTCTTCAATGATGCGACGAATGCCCGGTTTCTTATGATCAGCAGTACATTTGTCGGTTACGGATGAGTCGAAGCTCCCGAAGTCAGTTGAAGCAAATCCGCCCGACTCGTACTCTGCATAGAACGACCGAATGCGCTCGCAGACGCCAGCATTGTCTGTCCCTTTGATACTGCGTAAGACGAAGTATGGGAGACGAAAGAAGCATTCCTCGATGGTTTTATTCATGAGGGCTGTCATGGCGGACCCCGTTGGTCCTGCATGCTGAATCAGTCGAGGTTTGATTTTGCCCAGTGTTTCATTAGGTTTGACAATTTTACAACAACTGGGGCCTTTGGCACCTCAGTACCGGAGATCGCCTCGAAGTTCTCGTCAATCATCTTTTCAGTGAAGCTGCTTGGGGCGATATCGGCGATCATTGTGTGCAGAGGGAATAGCGTTTTACCGTGCAGCTCTGAAACGACCTCGCTGGGGGGGATTTCCATGCACATAGCATCAACTCGCTTAATCTCATTTTCATCGATTTGCATGATCGTTGGAACGACCTCCTCGACTACTGCGTAGAGACAGCGACGGATAACCTCCCATGGGTTACCGATCTGGTTGGTGATCTTGATGCCATTATACTCGACTTCAGCAAACTTCTCGGCGTAGCGGCGATTACCGATGCCTGCGAGAACGTTATCGTGTGTGTTGGACGCCACGAAGATGTTACGCATGTCGGCCTCGGTGACGCCCGGCATTGCAACACGTGCCTTTGCCGTTACGCCATGATGCTCCAAAAGGTCATCATCTACGATGCATAACTTGGACTCATACTCGAGTGCAGCCAAGGCCTCCGTTTTCCGGCCAAGGTCTTTTCGTAGACCAACCTTATCCCATTCGACAATGATCCGGACGCCAGCCATTGGCTTTCCGAGATCTGCCTTGGTATATGGGACGAGGGGCGCCCCCGGTTCAATGAACCGTGATGCTGCTGCAGGTTCGGAGCTACCTGCAGCTTTTTGACCCCCTGCCGCGGACGCAGTCGCAGGGGTGGCCGGCGCACCGGTCTCGGGGGCCCCATGTGGCCTGGCAATACCAATGCCAGTTGGGACACGTGGGACGTAAGTGACGTCCCCGCCAAGGGTGAAAAGTTCGGCCCGGACGGCGTGCGCCAAATATGTTTGGTAACTATATATTGGCGCTCTAATTCAGGGTCATCGACGAGTGCAGAGTGGGTCAAGTTTATATTGGCCAGCATACCACGCGCTTTCTCACGGTCCGAGCAAACAACATGCTGTGCTCGGTGGAGTAGTTTATGGTGGTAGCACTCCGCCTTGTACATGGGTCGATCCCCTACCGCCCAATGGCGCAAAGTACACCTCGTGCAACGATGAGCGAAAGCAATTGCCTGCGCAAACCGGTCATCAGAGTTGATAGAATCAAAGGCAAACCCTGTCGGAAGACAATAGTGGCAGATGCCACCTTGGCGCGAAGCCATGAGTTCACCAATCTGTGACCGTCGTGACAGTCGTGAAGCAATCTCCCATTGGGAGAGCACATTAAAGGTGAAACACCCGGCGTCCCAAAGCAGACGTCGACACGCTGAAAGTACCATGTGAGGTTGAGGTAACCCGGTGCATACATATGAACAAAAAACACAAATGGTTGCACCAATGTAAATAAAATGAATTAACCCGGTAGCATGGAGGGCTATAAGGTCGGCGAGACCGAAAACGATGTCCAGTGAAGTCACTCTGAGATCTTCAACCCATTGGAGGAAGGAGTCTGAGTGCATTTCCTCAATGGGCGTCGGTGCTATGCTGGTAATCAGTCCATTGACCCCATGTCGAGGGTCGCCTCCATCACAACCTGCGCTGTGCTCGGTGCGTTCTTCCAAGAGACGAGCTGCCGTCTCACATCCTCGTCGCACCGGATGCCATAAAATGGCAAAGCTGGCATGCGCACAGTCCCGTAGGCACTGTGAAAAGACTGACCAGCTTCCAAGTCCCCGTAGGGCTTGTCCGGTGAGTTCAAGGCATTGAACGCCAGCGATTTCAATGTCATCCAGGCCCTGGCCGTCAATCCGAACACTTTCCTCGCACCAAGAGGATTCAGTGTGGATGGAACCGTCGGCAGCAGTGCCAACACCACGGGCCATGTGTCCTCCAGAAGTCCACCAAGGCGTACCCAACCCTCCGTAGAAGTCAGGTTGTGGTAATTGTCCGGGTCTGCAGCACTGAATAGCGTCGACCAAGAGTTGCCACCATAGAGCAACGTGGCCGCGCCCCTCCTCAGGCTCGACTGGCAGTGTCAGTGGAACTGTTTCATGCTCAGCGCCTCCAATGTCAGTTCCCCGAACGCCTCCCTGTCCCCGTATTCCATCGCCAACTTCTGGATTCCGTCCTCGTCCAGGACTTCGTCCGCGACGCAATAGATCAGAGGAATGTTGAGCTCCAGCAGGAGCGTCTCCAGTTCGCGATCGTCTGGGAAAGCTCGCAGCACGCGTGGGTGTGTCTTGAGGTCGCCGACGATGTGCCCCAATCTCATTGTCAAGAGTCTGGGCTCGCATGCGATTTTCAGCGTTTTGTCGATGATCTGTGCCACGTCCATTCTGGCTCAAGGTTCTAGTAGCTTGCGGAATTGCGAGGAGTGCAATGGGTGAGCAAGGCTACTTGGGTCGTGCGCTATTGCCTCAAAGTTGGGAGAACCTTGAGCCATTTGGTGTAAGGTTTAGGGTTTAGGGTTTATGGGTTATGGGTTTTTTTTCGCTCCCGCATAGCTGGCCGAACCGCAAGGCAGGGTGACGTCGACGACATGTCCAGTTGGAAAAAAGGGGGTCCACTACAGGACCTGTATATGGGTTTAGGGTTTAGGGTTTAGGGTTTAGCTTCGGGCAAACTTATGCAAAACAAGTCAATTTGGGACATTTGAAGTATGTACTGAACCCTCAGCCACTCAAACCCCGCAAACCCGCAACAACCCATAAAGGTGTGCTTGAAGCCTATCGAGGAGAGCTCAAGGCTTGGCGCACCAATCTGCAAGTTCTTTAGGGTTTAGGGTTTAGGGTTTAGGGTTTAGGGTTTAGGGCTACAAAGAGTCTCAGCTGCCGAGGGTTTGGAGCCAAGCTGCAAAGGGTTCTCTTCCGGATTGGGCTCCATGAAGCGGTTGGAGTTCTCGATCTCCTTGCAACAGGGTTTAGATTTTGGGTTTAGGCTTGAGGGTTGAGGGTTGAGGGTTTAGGGTTTAGGGTTTAGGGCGGCTGGGCTTCTGGCTTCGATCTCTCTTTTTTTAAATCTCGGGGGGGGTCTCCGAAAATAAAAAACACCCTATTGGGGTCCTTATTATCAGGGACTCCGAGGATTTGCCCGTCTATATTCGGGGTCCCTTATTTTCGTAAACTCCCAATCTGAGTTTGAGGTGCAGGGGCGATCCTAAACCCCAAACCCGAAACCCCAAACCCCAACCCCTAAACCTATAAACCCTAACCCTAAACCCTAAACCCTAAACCCCAAACCCTAAACCCTAAACCTATAAACCCGAAACCCTAAACCCCAAACTTCGGTTGGCACCGCGGGGGGGAGGCGCACCGACAAGCTGATCTGGATCTGACGACCGTCGAAGCTGATCTGGTTGTCCATACCTTGCGGCGCGGAGGTTTTACACCTAAAAGGCCTCAGAGGCCGACACTTGCAACAGGAGGGCCCCGAAACCCTAAACCCTAAACCCTAAACGGGTTGGACCCTCTAGGGTCCTCGGTCTTCCATGAGTCACGCGAAAGGAGTAATGATGAGAGAAACTGGCAATTAAGGCTCCCATGAGCCAAGGCCGCCCATCTTCCACGGGAGAACCCAAAAACCTGGATCCCAAAACATTATAGGGTTCTTAAAGGGGGGGAGGTTCAAGGGGGGTATGTAACCCAAGGTTCCCTAATACTCCCCAGTACTCCCTAAGGCTCCCTAAGCTTCCCTAAGGTTCCCTAGGTACCTACCCCCCTTGAACCCCCCTCCCTTAAGAACCCTATAACCCTGTAACCAAAACAGGAGCAAGCCCGTAAACCCTACCGTGAACCGTTCGCTAGTATATTAGTACATTATGATATGAGTTCATTATTGTATCCGTATATTGCTATATTACTTTAGAATAGTATTTAATATGTGTCAACATTCACCCTAAACCCTAAACCCTAAACCCTAAATCCTAAACCCTAAACCCTATAAGCCTCGACCATCCACGACTCCTCTCAGAGGCCCCGACCCTTCCACCAGACGCGGGGGTCTGGTCCTGGGATGCCGCCGTGGACAACAAAGACCTGTCAAGGACGGCCCAACATGCAGGGTTTAGGGTTTAGGGTTTAGGGTTTAGGGTTTAGGGTTTAGGGTTTAGGATTAGACAAGCGCATCCGACTTCAAAAACCGAGCCTCGTTGTTGATCACGTGGCAGAGAGGCGTGGCGCGGAAGATCTCGGCGAAGAGGTCGATCATGCGCTTCTCATACTTCACCTGACGGCTCCGATGTTTAGGGTTTAGGGTTCAAGTGCTTAGGGAACTTCTGTGCTGGATCAGTATCTGCATCTGGCCGCCAGCCGTCGCCCCCCCCCCCCCCCCCCCCCCCCGCCGTGCGAGTTGCTGCCATTACGGTTGCTTTCTGGAGGGAGGCTTTTACACGGAAGTTCCAAGAATGAATGCTTTGCCCAGAGCCAGCGTCTCTCAATAGGGCAGGAGAGTCAAAAAAACGAGTCATTTGGAAAAAATGGGAAGGGCAGCAACCACTCGGTTGTTCTTGGGCCGCTCACATGGGCTAGTGGCCCTTGAAACTTTCAGCACAAGCCGACTCCAAACCAGGTTTCAGGCGCCAGCCGTCCGACCGCAAACTGCGGTAAAAGCCACGGTGCAACAAGGCCTTACATCACGCCCATATGCCCAATGTCCACATGGGCTGAACGGCAGGAACACGCAACCCAACACCATCCAAAGCCCCCTACACGCTGCCTGAGGCACCTGCACCTCTAGAAAGCTCGAAAGCGCCCACTTTGGGGTCCATAGGGGCTTTTGTGTCGGAGTTTGAATTTGGCCGTGTGGTTTACAAATTCAGTTCCTCAGGCCGTGGGTGGGGTCTCTGGCCTTTTCTGGCTTATGCGCACGCCGTACACTCCCTGGGCTTCGGTCTGCTTGGAGCCTTTCCACTGGTCCTTGACAGGCGTCCTCTACGTGTGTTAAGCTGCGTTGGCAAAATCTCCACGAACTGCCCACAGACCTCGACCTCGCCAAAGAAGCCGTAGAAGTGATTGGCCATCTCCTGCAGAGATGGGATGGCACAGGGCATCTCGGGACCCTAAACCCTAAACCCTAAACCCTTTTTGCATCCGGGCTTGGGGAGTCGGCCGGGAATCAGGAAACCCTAAACCCTAAACCCTAAACCCTTTCTAGCTCCTTAGGTCGAGAGCCCTGCCCCGAAAGCGAAAGCTCCCACAGAGAGATCCACAGAGGAAGTTCTCCCTGGGTGGCCCCTGGCAGCCCAACCCCCAAAACACCCCTAAACCCTAAACCCTAAACCCTAAACCCTAAACCCTAAACCCTAAACCCTAAACCCTAACACACCATGTTCAACCGAGACTCGGCTTCATGGTTGCCGCGATTCATGTAGACCTTGTGCTGAGAGGGGCTGAGGGTTCGTGAGGTTCGTGGGATTGGCAAACTTTGGGGGTTCTCTTGGCGTTGAGCCTACAGGAGCATGTCGTGAAAGAGAAAGATCCGGTGCCCCCGGATAGCTGGGATGCAGCAGCTCGGGGTATCAAGTCGCCCGTCGTTGCTGGAAGGCCTTCTTTCTGGATAGTTCGCTAGAGACCGGGAGATCTCATGGCCACTTGAAGGTTTGTGAGGCTGCTGATAGCGAAAGATTTACGTGTCTACTTCAACAGGCCTTCCCATACCTGGGCACTACAGTTTCAACGAAGTCTCGTCAGATGAGTTGCTGGGGAGTCTCAGAGCGTAGCAGACTTAAGAGAGTTTAGGGGCCATTGAGAGCTTGCAAGGGTAACTGCTTTTGTCCAGAAGATTTTGAGACGTCGCAAGGCTTGCCATCCCAGGCACGGCATTGGGCTGCCACACCTGTCATGCCGCTTCAGCTTTCAACTTACAGAGCATCTCGACATACATATGGGGTTTCCAAAAATAGTGGTGCCCTGTTTGGGCGTCTCTTTCAGGTGCTTCTACTCTATTTGGGGTATAACAGGGGTACCCCGCTTTTGGGAAATACCCATGTGTTGGGGGGGGGGGAGGGGGTGACGTTGAGTGGCATGAGTCACCCGGCTTTCATGGCACAACTGGCGGAACTTACCCGATATGTTAAGACCATCAAGGCGAAGTGTGGGGTTTTGCGGCTTTAGGGCTCCTTGCAGTCCATCCTCGAGGTTCTCTAAGGAATTCTGGAGTCAGTTTTCGAGCATGCTGAGGGTCACTACGGATAATTTGGGGGGGGGGGGGGTTTCGGAAATTCGGGGTACTTTCTTGGGGTCCTTGTTATGAGGGAAGCCTACTACTGGAAGGGTGTATATTCGGGGTCCCTTATTCTCGTACGCCTCTATCTTCCTCCGATAGAGAAGCTTGGCTCTGGCTTTAGAGCTTCGGATTGTCCGGCCTCTTTCGGCACATTTTTTGTGGCTTGGATGCTTGCAGACAGGATAGATGTATGCCTTGAGGGCCCTCCTTTAGGTCTGACCACGCTACAACCGACCTCTTCTGATTCTGAGCACCTCCCGCAGGTGGCTTCCCAAATGTTAACAGTCTTGCAGATCACCTTTCCGAGTGACGAGCCCAAAACGCTTTGCCACGCGCAGCCGCGCCTTGAACGCCAGGATGGTGAACATCACCTCCACACCTGTTGTAAGTCGAGGCTTCTTTGCTTGGAGGCTCTTCACAGCTCCACCCCCCCCTCCACAGCCCACAAAACTGGGCAACTTCGCGTCTCCCCATGTCCTCGCAGGCCAAACATCCAACCCTCCTCCCACCCTTCTAGTACCCGACGAGCAGAAATCTAAAACTCTAAGTGGCCCAACGGCCCTAAATCCTTTCCAGGCAACTCCAGGGACCACGATCCACGAAGTCACCGTTGAACAGGAACCTAGCGTTCTGGGACTCTTGGGGGTTTAGGGTTTAGGGTTTAGGGTTTAGGGTTTAGTAGGGTTTAGGGGTATAGAGTCTACAAGGGTTCAGGTGCAACCATGAGGTGATCCGCAAGGTCGAGCTTCAGCTCGCTGCTTTAAGAAGACTGCGGACAGAGGCCGGCACTAGGCCGATTTAGGTTCATACGCTGGAGACGCGACAACCCACACCGATGACCCAAGCGACGGTGGCCTGCTGAAACCCAAGCTCTGAACCGAGTGATGACAGGAACAAGTTAAGGAAAGACGCTGGTTCTCCGCCGAGGGGAATCCTGCCAAGGCAGCGCAAGGCACTTGCATCCACACGAACATGCAGGGGACGCTGAGTTCTGTGTCGGGCTTGTGCTTCGGGAGCGCTATGAGTCTATACTCCCCTTAGCACCTTTAAAAATACTATTTGCAATACCCTCTTGGGCTTTATATAAAACTAATTCTCAAGAGGGATACAGGAGTAGGGTTCCCGAGGCCCGTTGCTGTGGGGTTTCACGAGGCTGCGTACACATGGTCTCAGGAACTGAGGATACTTTCACTATAACGGTAATCCACCGCATTTATCCAGATTTATGGTCTTCCGTTCTGACACAGATTTTCGCAGCAAGAGGGAAGCACACACAACAGCAAAGAACAAGTCTTCCGCCAACCTTAAAATTTTACCGGCCGCCTTTCCAGAGAAGTCTTCAGGCTCGAGGTCGTGGCTTCAGGTTTGGGCGCCCAGGTTTTGGAGGGGAAAGCATGTTTTGAGCGCGGTTTAAGTGCGGAGTTCCCATTAGGTTTATCAAGCATTATTCTCTGAGAAGAATCGGGTGGCAAGTTGTGGCCAGGGACTGCTTACAGCCTGCCCCAGACTGAAGTTCGGCAAAAGCAACCCTAAACCCTAAACCCTAAACCCCGGAAGCTTGAAGGTCTGTCGACCTTCATGCGACTTCCCTCAGCGAGCCTGCCAGGCTGAGCATGTGGTCGAAGTCGAAGAGCTGTCCGTGCAAGTCACCAACCACAGTGACCTCGAAGGACACCAAAAGCAATGGCTGCACTTGGAGGTTCATGGTAATTAGAAACTAATTCTAACTGTACTTCTAACTGTACTTATAACTGTACTTATAACCATATTCGGGCACTTAAGGGGCTTGTAAGTGGGTTATAAGTACAGTTATAATTAGTTACTAAGTACCATGAACCTCCAAGCAGGGCATTAGTTGGCTATCATTGGCTGCTCCATACAGTCGGAGCTCGACTCAGGCACCACTTTTTCAATCTTGACTGCGAGTCGTCAGTCAGTTTTTGAGGTGGTGTTGTGACCACGATAGGCGGCCATTGCTAACCACAACAAGGAACGATTTAACCACGATAAGGATTGGTGCATCAACGCATGATGGAGCGCAGGGCGTGTAGGGGCATAGTTTACGTCAAGGCTGAGAGTCAAAGCATCACGCGTGCACATGCCCTTGTTCTCACCAGCGTTCACACCCAACCACCGTCACTGATCTAAGGCGTGTGAAAATGGCAAGAACCCTTACTCATTAATCCGAGCTTCTGTTTAATTGGTGGGGGGCCCCCCCCCCCCCAAAATAAGGAAGGCAGGGTTCCGCAATAATTGGACCATGGCCCTGCATTGATTCTCTATTAAAAACAATCGGCTGCAGATCCCTGAGGTGCTGTAGCTCCGCATCTCCGCAAGCAAAACAAGAAGCCTGCCGACAGATTTTTGAACCCCCCCAAAAAAATTCCTTTAAATGTGGGGGGTTTGTCCCATACGAAATCCACCCTAATGGAAAGTAGTCTTCCGGCGGGCTTCCGGCCAAAAAAAATTTCTTTAAATATGGGGGTATTAATTAAACTGATGCTCGGATTAGTTATTGACATTGAGACACTCTTTGCTGGCTAGTCTTGCTCTTGCCGGCTAGCAAGGCTCTCCACCATGAACCCAAAACCCTTTTGAACCCAGACTGGACTCGGGTTAACCCAGATCTTCCAAAACCCCTTAATCATGAGGATCCTTAGGTATAAATTGGGGTATATGCCTTAATTAAGGGGTTTTGGAAGATCTGGGTTCCCTAGACTCTCAACCCTCCCTTGTCGCTTCCTTGGGCGCTCCTAAGCATGGGTATCACGTAGCCCCGGCCGTGTGATGCGCCTGTGCAAGGAACTGCGTAAATTCTCTTCACCTTGGCACCTGATGGCTCTCAAGTTTGAGGAAAGCTTGCCTTCCGAAACACACATCAACCACGAAAACGCCACAAACCCTAACAAGTCCTAACTTGCCACCGTCTATCAGACCAGCAGCCCCCCAAAAATCACATCAAATCCTAAGCCCTTCATGCTTAACCCTTAAGACCCCATTCGAAAAGCGAAACGGATGCCCCGCACCTTCTTGCCCACGGGAACGTCCCTCAGCGCCAGTGGCGGTGAAGCTGGGCATGCGATGCTGCACGTGACTGTTGAGCACATCGGGTGTAAAATTGCAGCAGCACTTGGAGGTTCATGGCACTTATCAACCAATTATAACTGTGCTTATAACTGTACTTACAACCTTATTAGGGCACTTAAGGGGCTTATAAGTGGGTTTTAAGTACAGTTATAATTGGTTCATAAGTACCATGAACCTCCAAGTAAGGCTTGTCTCAGAATTGTTCGGAGGCTACGCTTCGAAGCCAAGGCCCTTCAAGTCTTGTTAAGGGTGTTGTGAGGGTTTAGGGTTTAGGGTTTAGGGTTTAGGGTTTAGGGTTTAGGGTTTAGGGTTTAGGGTTTAGGGTTTAGGGGGCATTCTGCCACCCACCGAACCGACACGCGGGGCTATGGTCCGAGGTTCTGAGCTGCCAGATCACGGCGATCCATCCGCAGGCTCAAAACCGAAATGAAATGAACTGGAGACACGGATGACAAGGTTTTTGAGTTTTTACAGCTGTCACTCAGTGCAGGATTACATCACCATCCACATCTGCTGGCAACAGCTCCCTCCAAAGACAAAAAACATTCCCGCGGTTTCCTCGGTTTTTCAGATCGGAGCAAAGGATCCGATGGGATGGTTTAGGGTTTAGGGTTTAGGGTTTAGGGTTTAGGGTTTAGGGTTTAGGGTTTAGGGTTTAGGGTTTAGGGTTTAGGGTTTAGGGTTTAGGTGTTTAGGGGTTTAGGGGTTTAGGGTTTAGGGTTTAGGGTTTAGGGTTTAGGGTTTAGGGTTTAGGGTTTAGGGTTTAGGGTTTAGGGTTTAGGGTTTAGGGTTTAGGGTTTAGGGTTCCGTGGAAGACTTCAGGTCCCAAGAGAATAGTTAAACACGTGGCAAGACACACTCTTCCCAGGGTCTTCTCCTTCACCAACAAGTCAAAGGCATCAATGGCCAGCTTGTAGGCATCTTTCATCGGAAGCAGCTGGCCATTCCTGCGAAGCATTTAAGGTTTAGGGTTTAGGGCGTTGGGGTGGAGTGTTGACATTGTAGACCTGCGGAACATCAGGGATCCGCGGCTTTTGCATCTGTATGATAGAGTGCGCAAGAATGCCCCCAAACCCAACATATCTGCAAAACCCTACCAGGCACTGCAAGCGAGGCGCTTGAAGGCTGCCAGCATTTCGCGGATGCTGGCCTCGTTCAAGGAGTTTGGCCTGGGCTCTCGCTGAGAAACTCCAGCCCTAAACCCTAAACCCTAAACCCTACACCCTAAACCCTAAACCCTAAACCCTAAACCCGAATCCTTGCGCTCTCCTTAAGAGAACCATTGAACCTTCAAGGTGGGCCTTGAGGATTTGGGGGGCCAAAAGGGCACAAAAGGGCATGTTGGGGCTGAGAAGAGCTGATGCCGAGATATGAGGTTGGGGGTTTAGGGTTTAGGGTTTAGGATTTAGGGTTTAGGGTTTAGGGTCAGTGAGCTCAGAGGGTTCAGGACATTTGCGGTTTAGGGCAAAGTTTAGGGTTTGTTGCCATCTGTCCAAGAGTGGGATTTGGGGTGGACAAGTTGATGCTAGGATTTGGGCCATGAGTGAAGAAAGCAGTGACACGCAGTTTGTGGGACGGAGGTCGTTTCCAACCTACAAACCCTGCAACCCAAAAACCCACACCGCAAGCGGCAATTTGTGAGGGCGATGCTTCCGGGGTTGTGGCAGTTAAATCTCGCACGCCGGTTCTGAGGGCGGTGAAAGCCGTCATGGCTTCACCTTTACTATCCTCCCCTTAGAACCTTAACAAAAACAATATTTCTTAATGCACTCTTGGGATTTTTATATGAACAAAAACAAAAAAGTTTCCCAAAGAGGATGTAGTTCATAACCCTAAACCCTAAACCCCAAACCCTAAACCCTAAACCCTAAAATCATTTTCAAGGGGGATATAGTTTAACGCACCGGGGGGGGGGGGGGGGCCTCAAGCCCGAAGACTCCTGGCACCCCACAGACTTACGTAAACTCACAGCAGGGGCACGCAGTGGAGGCTTGCTCAGCACATCTGGGTTTAGGGTTTAGGGTTTAGGGTTTAGGGTCTAGGGTCTAGGCTTTAGGGTTTAGGGTCTAGGGGTTTAGGGGTTTAGGGTTTAGGGTCTAGGGGTTTAGGGGTTTAGGGTTTAGGGTCTAGGGTTTAGTGGCCTCCAAATCAAACATGTCATCGTACCATACCCTACCAGCTTACCAGAAGCTTCAAAGTTCTTCCGCAAACCCCGGCGGCACCTTCTAGAAAAAATGAGGGGACCTCGGCAATCCGAAACAGAAACCTAACCTGGCACAAGAAGACCAACACAAGCGCGAGCCACACACACAGACACACACATATACACACCTACACCTGCACCTGCATCCAATTACACACACACACACATCACATCACATCACTTCACTTCACACATCGCACACACACACATCACACACACACACACACACACACACACACACACCTCGCACGCCCAACGTCAATGACCACTCGAACCGAGACACCCCATGTACCGTGGGCCCACGTGATTCGTTGGCTCCGGCATGCTTGCCACGGCGCCACGGAGGCCTGGCCGGGAAGGTCATATAAGGGTTTAGGGTTTAGGGTTAACAGAACAAGCACGATAACAACATAATAAGATAAACGTATACTAATCAAATATAAACAATGATAGAATCATGTGCTACTAGACTAAGCTCAGACTTCGATTCCTTGTCGGTCCGATAGGTCTCTCGAGCTCTTGCACTTCGGCTTTCAGGTGGCAAAAGCTTTCGTGAAACCGCGGATCTTTTCGCCCGGTACACAAAGCGCTTTCGTACTCATACTCTTTTGTGTTGGCGAACAGCCGTACCCAGCTGTCATCACCTGTAGCTGGTGAGTGATTCCACGCTCCCCTAAAACCCTAAAACCCTAAAACCCTAAAACCCTAAAACCCTAAAACCCTAAAACCCTAAAACCCTAAAACCCTAAAACCCTAAAACCCTAAAACCCAAAAACCCTAAAACCCCCTGTTGCATTTGCGGCCTTCCACAGCCTGGGGAGCATAAGTGGCAGGCGCCACTGGAATCTTGTACCTTGCGGCTCGTGTGGCTCAAATGGTTGCAAACCTTGGGGACCACATGAACCCTAAAAGGGTTTATGGCTCATATACCCTGATAGGAATTATAGGTAGAAAAGGATATATGACCCCAATTTTAGGGTTCATTTCGTCCCCAAGGAAAGCTTAAGGGTGCGTCGTAAATGCTCGGGATTGGAGCTCATGTGCTAGCCAAGTGGCTCTCGAATGGTGGCGTCTGGGGGCAGGTCCTGCTCAGAGTCTCAGAATCCTTACCACTGAACCATATTTCTGGCGCGCCCACACATGAGGCAAAGCGGGAGCGATGCCAACCTGGCTAAGCCACGGCCATAGATCGAGTTAATGCTACTATCTTTAATGGAATGCGTCATTTTAGGGAGGTTATCTTGAGAAGGCCTCTTTGTCCAGATGACCTATAGGAACGGGCTCACTGACTATAGGTCATGGCCAGCATGTAAGACCTCGTTGAAAAGCACACACCCTCTGGTTCTGGGGTCGCTTCTCGCTACTGGGGCAAGGGTTGGGGACTTGGTGAAGTTTGTACAGTCTGGGCGCAAACTTGCAACTTATGCCTGCCGCGCTCCCCGTCACGGAAAACCAACTCGCCACGAGCTCGATAAACGTGACCCCTCGCTCCCCCCCACCCTGTCCTTGTAGCGATCGTCAGAACGATCAACCAACGTCTCTCCTAGGAAACTTCTGTAGATGTATGTGTACATTTTCCTGTGTATATATAGATGTATATGTATATATGTCCATCTACGTGTATACACACAGAAAAAATATACAGATATGTACATATATAAATATACATGGAGTCTATACACATATTCTAAGAAAAAGCACCATACCCCAAGCCCATACCTCTTAACCTATCAAAGGGAGGATTTTACCATAACCCTAAATTTCTTCTGAGGGGTATGCCCGAGGGGTATGTTGAATATTTCCTATATATATATATACATACACACACACATGGAGTCAGGGCGAGCATACCATCTCTGTGTGAGTATACCCAGATCTTCCAAAACACCCTTTATTCACGGAATACCTTAATTTATACTCAGGATCCCTATTGGGAACTAGGGTATATACCTTAATTAAGGGGTTTTGGAAGATCTGGGTATACACGAATATGCACTGGCAGCAGTAGCCTGGAGCGCTAAGACTCTTTGCCGCCAGGCTTTCGGATGTCGCTCAGATGATCGCTCGGACCCACGGCTAAGTCTCTAACACCCTATTTAGGGTTTCGGGTTTAGGGTTTCGGGTTTAGGTTTTAGGGTTTCGGGAGGTTTCGGGCTTCGGGTTTAGGGTTTAGGGTTTCGGGTTTAGGAACCCTAAACCCTAAACCCTAAACCCTAAACCCTAAACCAGGGGGTTTCCAGCCCCAGGGTCCTCCGGCGGGTGGTGCAGCCGGAGCAGCCTTGGTCGAAAAGATGAGGTCAGATGTTGTGGATTACTACAATTTGCATAAGAAACCCCCCAATTTTTTTTTTTAAGAATCCCTACATTACCCTTGTAAGGAAGAGTGTTTTTTGGGGGGAGGGGGGGTTTAAGCAAATTTTGTCGGTTCAAGGCCTTGTAAAGGTTCAACAAGAGACCCAGATCTCCCAATTCCCCTTAATTAAGGACCTTCAAGGATCCTTCGTATACATTAGGGTCTATTCCTGAATTAAGGTGTATACCCTATAATTCATAATAAGGATCCTAAGTATAAATTAGGGTATTCCATAGCTAAGGGGTTTTGGAAGATCTGGGATTAAGGTCCACTCGAATTTTGCAGGGTTCAAGGTTACAGGCAGAGGGCTACGAGACAAGGATCCTTGGTATACGTTAGGGTATATTCCCTAATTAAGGGGTTTTGGAAGAGGGTACAAAAAAGTCCAGCGGCCGTAGCCCCGGAGAACTCGACGTACTCGATATTCACAGGGAGTTCGGCCGGCTTGTTGCCTTGGAAGGCGGCATCTGGTTTAGGGTTTAGGGTTTAGGGTTTAGGGTTTGGGGTTTGGGGTTTAGGTTTCGGGCATCGGGCCCTATAATTGCAGTCAGCCCCGGCCCGAGCTAAGACTTATCGAAGCCAGTCCATCGAATCGTCTCTTCTGGGTTGCAGGCAACGAAAACCAGTCGTGCCCGAAATCAGGAACACCTTACCACAATACTCATACTCAAATCCCAGAAGCCATAATCCCCTGTCAATGTGCACGGAGCATGTTGGGTCGGAGTACTGCGTCCCTCTACCAGGTGTTTTCCCTCAACCCTCAACCCTAAACCCTATACACCAGGTGTTTCCCCTCAACCATGAATTTCACCAGCTCCATGCTTTTGATTCTGCTGAGGCGCCCATGCTTCCACTTCCGCTCGACTGGAAGATTCCTAGCACTCGTTGACTTGAGGGTTTGGGGCTAGGGTTTAGGGTGCGGCTTCCGAGCTAGCAACAGTTGGAGACACGAGCTGCCCTGTGCCATGGAGCAACCAGCAGAAAGGATCAATCTACAAAGGCGGCTCTTGGTGAAGACACAAGTGGCTGTAGCACCCTCAGCCTCCCCCTGCCTGCCCTTAACATCGCACTTCCCAACCGGTAATTTAGGGCCCTATATATATGTATATATGTATATGTATATATATATATATATTATATGCGTACCCTTTAAGGGATTATGTAGGGTGCCTCATTCCACCATCTCCCTACTAACCAACAGGAAGAGAAAGGATGACCAGCTCCCACATCCCGGCTCTCTCATGATGGCCCCCCTAAACCCTAAACCCTAAACCCTAAACCCCCTAAACCCCCTAAACCCCCTAAACCCCCTAAACCCCCTAAACCCCCTAAACCCCCTAAACCCCCTAACCCCCTAAACCCCCTAAACCCCCTAAACCCCCTAAACCCCCTAAACCCCCTAAACCCCCTAAACCCCCCCTAAACCCCCTAAACCCCCTAAACCCCCTAAACCCCCTAAACCCCCTAAACCCCCTAAACCCCCTAAACCCCCTAAACCCCCTAAACCCTGAACCTGAACCCTAAACCCAAAACCTAACCCTAAACCCTAAACCCTAAACCCTAAACCCTAACCCTAACCCTAAAACCCTGAACCCTGAACCCGAACCGACCCTGAAACCCTGAAACCTGAACCTGAACCCCTGAACCCTGAACCCTAAACCCTAACCCTAAACCCCTAAACCCTAAACCCTAAACCCTAAACCCTAAACCCTAAACCCTAAACCCTAAACCCTAAACCCTAAACCCTAAACCCTAAACCCTAAACCCTTCCCTCCTGCGGAGTTGTCCAGGATTTTGTCGTCCAGGAGGTCCATGATATCCCAGAAGTCCTCTCTACAAACATTCAGCATGCACAGCTGTCCCTGTACTTGCCACCAGTTGAAATATATGGCGCTATATATACATATATATATATTATTGCATATGGCAGCATATGTGTGTGTGTGTGTGTTTACAGTGCTCATCCAGCTCTGCAGTGGCAAGCTCGAAGATGATACACGATTTCTGCTGCAGGGTCCCACGTGCCAACATCGATGTCGTTCACCTTGCAAGGATGCAAATTTCGTGCATCTGGTTTGGAAGGAATGGGGTTGCTCCAAATTCTGACAGAAGCAGACAACTCCACCTTCAGGAGTGACCACACTTCTTTGGAAGGGCTGCAGGGCGGGGGCTGTTTCTAAAGGTGCAACTCCCATCTGAATCATCCTTCCAAAGCAGCTTTCCAAACGGAGGGTGCAGTTTATCAGTCTGACATTCCTCACGCGGCACCCTGAATGCTTTGGAGCTGCAAATTTCAAGAAAAACAAGAGAAAACCATAGAAAACAACCATGAAAACCATAGAAAACCCAAAGAATGAAAAATTGGGGCCCCACCTTCTTCACTGCCATGTACTGCTTCACGCCACCAACGAAGGCCTGGCCCTGGGGATCTCCGGGATACCTCAGCAAGGGAAGGCTCCAGATTTTAGGGTTTGGGGTTTAGGGTTTAGGGTTTAGGGGTCTGGGGAGGCAAGGAGGGGTGTGACATGGACTGTTTGGCCCTGCATGGCGCCCAGGTAACCGGGGGCCCACTTGGGATCGAAAACCCGATGTCTGGAACACCGGTAGGCTTAGGTCAAGCCCCACAGATACTGAAAGATGACCTGCCAATCATGTGCCATTCCTGCTGTGCTTGCTCAAGCACCGAGACCTGTCGTTCATCTTCCAGACCATGGCGCCTGCGGACTTATGGGCACGCTGTCGCTAGGCACACCCGCTTACCCGGCATTGGGTAGGAGAAGGCTTTAGGAAGGCTAACCCTACACCCTAAACCCTAAATCCATAAACCCTAAACCCCTATTGACTGGTGCTGTGTCTACGACAACTTTGTGCAATGCCTTCCGACTTTGCAGGCAACAGACATCTAGAACAAGGCACGGGCCCTATGCGGAGGCTATATGGGGGCATATGATATTCGGGGTACCTTATCGGGGTTCTTATGATAAAGGGGAACCCCACTATTGGGGGTCTCTACTAGGGCCTTGTTTCTTAGTTGTCCAGTAACCTGGGGTAACTTAAGGTTAACCTTTGGGATTATAAGGGGATTATATTACCCCAAAAAGGTTATAAAGGTTACCTACTCTACTACAAGGGTTTTCTTATATTACCCCGAAAAGGTTAAAGGTTGCCTACTCTCCGACTAGGGTTATCGTAAACCCCCCACTATTTGCGGGTCTCTATTAGGGTTTAGGGCTTAGGGTTTAGGGTTTAGGGGATCTCTATTGGGGTTCCCTTAGTGAACCCCCTTTTGAATTCTCCTCGCTCTCGATTTTGCCTTTTTTGTTCGTCCCTCTGGGAGTGTGGATGTGTGACCAGGCGCAATGCTCCTCAGCCATGGACCTCTACACGCCGGGTTTAGGGTTTAGGGTTTAAAGGTTTAGGGTTTAGGGTTTAGGGTTTAGGGTTTAGGGTTTAGGGTTTAGGGTTTAGGGTTTAGGGTGAAGGGTTTAGGGTTTAGGGTAACCTTCTGGCACCTTCTGGAGCCAGGAGCCTGGGAAACCTTCACCTCCAAGACCTAAACCTTGCAAGTACAATCTGTTTCAGGCCAGCTTTCGGGGGCTGGGACTCGATGTCAGGTGCTAAAGCGCCAAAACACTGCCAAACCTTGAAATACTCCCCTCTCCCTAATATTAAACCCCCCCCCTACCCCCCAATATTAAATGCCCCCCGTTATAGTTATGCCCTAAACCCTAAACCCTAAACCCTAAACCTAAACCCTAAACCCTAAACCCTATAGTATATGGTGGGTATTTAATATTAGGGGGTAGGGGGGGGGGGTTAATATTAGGCGGAGGGGATTACACTCAACCCTACGAGTACTTCCCGCTGCCAGCCTTTGCCGCTGGTGCTGGGGGCATAGGCCAGCACCTGACACATCGCTTGGGGGGCTTTCCGAAATTCTTTAGGGTTTAGGGTTTAGGGTTGAGGGTTTAGGGTTTAGGGTTTAGGGTTTAGGGCTTAGGGTTTAGGGTTTAGGGTTTAGGGTGCACTACTTGGGGTTTGCTCGGAGAGGAAGAGCGTTGGAGTTTAAATGGCTTCTGAGGGTCCAGTGGAGGTAATTGGAGGCCTGCAGGCCGAGCAACCGAGCCAAAACCCACGGGCAACGCGAACTCCACCACCATGATCCAAACCCTAAACCCTAAACCCTAAACCCTGCATTTCACAGATGAGCTGCGCCGAACGGTCGCTTCTTGTACTCTACCATCACGGCGCCCGCAATGCTGGACCTGGGTCTTGCAGAGTCAGGGGCATTGCAGTACAAGCGGCGGGGTTTGTGTTCTCTCTCTACTAAACCCTAAACCCTAAACCCTAAACCCTTGACTCATTGCTGCCCACAGCCTCAAACTACGATGTCGATCTGTACCGCTCCATCGCTGCCAACTAGCCGCAAACTCAGGACAAATTCTTGGCTGCACTTAGCAGGGTAGCTATAAACTTATCTTTTAGCTGCCTTGTTCAGAAACCCAATAAGCCCAAAAAGGCTAAAGATCTAAAGTTACAGTAAAGCACCACAGAGAAATGGCTCGACAAGGTCTGGGCATCGCGACGGTGCGAAAACAGTGTTTAGGGTTTTTAGGGTCTAGGGCTTAGGGTTATTGGGCACCAACCCAGCATACGCACACATCGCATGCCTGCGCGCTCTGTAAGACTACCCCAGTAGCAGCGCGTGTACTCCCCTGCTGCCAAACTGCGCGTCGGTAGCGTCGAAGGTGCGCGGCTCACGAACCCTGGGCAATTGTCGGGGTGGTTTGCGGGAAAGCGCCGGAAAGCGCGGCTGTAGATCCGATTCTGTGGTGATGTGGTGGGGCTGCGTTCTTGTTTAGCATGGAAGCAAGGACCTACCAACGAACGCAAGGCTGATTGCGGATATCTGAAACCTTCTAAAAACTTTGGGATTTGGGGTTAGGATGGTTTTGGCTTGTAGAGTGGCAGGGCTATGATGTTGTCCTGTTTGGAGCTGCTTCGGCTTCACGACACTCTTTGCGACTGGCAATTCCTGGCATCCTTGACCTTTACTACCTGCATAAACGCGTGTTCGCGTAGGCCGCCAACGAGAAACCCCTACGTCTTCCCACTGAGATTTGCTGAAGACCCCGAAGCCCTCCACCCTAAACCCTAACGCAGGCCGGTGGAGCTTGTCACCCTCACTGTCCCGCATGGACGCAGGTCGCGCGATCAGGCTTGACCTCATGTCGGCTTCGGCACCTATAATGTAGGGGCCTTGATGAGTAGAATAGGGCTTTGGGGGTTTCTTATAGTATATTTATAGGGACCATAAGGGGATCTAAATTAGAAATTATTCCGCCCCCTATTTTACGGCTCGATACATCGCAGTCTTGGGCGCTTGTACATTCAGAGGTGCTGCCGTTTGATGGCATGCACGGCTTCTGCCAACACCTACTTGGAGGTTCATGGTACTTATTAGCCAATGATAACTGCACTTATAACTGATAAAGTACTTATAACCACATTAAGGCACTTAAGGGGCTTATAAGTACAGTTATAATTGGCTAATAAGTACCATGAATCTCCACACCGAGGACGCATCCGGAAGCTGCTCGGCCGATATCTTGGGCGGAGCGGCGTGCGCGACCGGAGGGACACGCTGGGCACCGGGGCAGCGACGAAGCCAAGGGCCTCACATAAGACCGTCTCCATGCCCCATCTCAAGCTGTGTCATGCGAAAAAGGTAGGGTTTAGGGTTTAGGGTTTAGGGTTTAGGGTTTAGGGGTTTAGGGGTTTAGGGATTTAGGGTTTAGGGGTTTAGGGGTTTAGGGGTTTAGGGTTTAGGGTTTAGGGTTTAGGGCTTAGGGCTTAGGGCTTAGGGCAAAAGTTGGCAGCACCCCCCCCCCCCCCACCCCCCCCACCCCGCATGGCGACCTGCAAGTTCGGGGCTGAGAGAGAGGCACCTAATGCTAAGAGGCACTTCAGGGTTTAGGGTTTAGGGTTTAGGGCTGATTTGAATGAAGGCCTTGTAAAGAAATGGAGCTCGCAAACCCCAAACATGCCCCATGAACAACTCAAGATATGCTCCTCTGAGTCTTTCTTCTCAGCGCGCCTTTGCCGTCAGGCGGGTGGCCAGCACCAGAGCCTGGGGTGGCTTTGGCGGTTCGGGATTCAGCTCGGCATCCAAGCTCCTTAAACTACGATTTGCTTCAGAACCCAAAAGAAGAAGAAATAATAATAATCCCTACATTGCCCTTATAAGGAAGAATGTGCTTTGTTTTTTGGTGCTTCTTAAGCAAGTAGTAGTAAACTGAACCCCTTCTAACCCTGAACGCTAAAAAACTTCATGAAGGGTCCTGGGCCAACCGGGATGCGGCCTTAAAACCTTCCGAATCCACGCCACAGACCCACCGCCCTAAACTCAGTGAGACTTCTATAGCGGGTTGACGAATATAAAGCAACAACTGCAAAACACAAGTGCTGAAGCTAATGCTACCATAACATCTGGCATTTATGTAGCTATAGGTCAGCGGCCGTCATCAAGCGCCAGTCTTCCCCACAAGATCTATGCCCTCAATCTACTAGTTGCTTAAGAACCCCCAAAACACAAAACATAATAATCCCTATACTACCCTTATAAGGAAGGACCTTAAAAGAAACGGGGGTTCTTAAGAAAATAGTAGCAACACGGCCGAAGAGTTGCCCCTGCAAGCCGAGGAGCAAGGGCCACGAAGGCCAAAGCCAAGGCCGAGGGACGAGACCTCATCGCCTCGGAGCAGAAGTAGCACAAGGCTTGCTATGGTTTACATGTGGTCCCTAAACCCTAAACCCTAAACTGGCCCTCCAACCCTTTTGTGAAGCTGGACTTGCTGACTGCCCCCAAACCCGAGAAGGCCTCGGTTCACAGCAGCCCGGCTCCAGCATAACGCTCACTACTGCAAACCCTAAACCCTAAAGCCTAAACCCTAAACCCTAAACCCTAAACCTCAATGGGTTACATCATGACCCAAACAGACTCGACAGGTCGCATGCTGACGGGGAATGTCTCCTCTCACAACATAGCAGTTGCTTTGAGAATCTAAGTTATGTTGCTCTGCGGCGGCAGCTGCTTGAGGTCTTGATGCTTTCAGGCATGGAACCTAGATATTTTAGGGTCAGCATTACTGGCCCAACCTGACAAGGTCATCGGAAGCTGTGAATTCTAGAGAGGCATGCGACCTTCTTTGCAAATCGATGCATCTCAACTCTAAGTTCGATGTACAGGGGTGCAACATGTGTCCAAAATCAGCCTCTCTCCCAAAAGCCGACCGGCATCACGGACAGCCTATCCTACCTATCGTAGCCTTGACATCAGCGTCACTGGTCCCAGCAGCCACATATCACAACAAAACTGGTGGGGGAATCCGTGTAAGTTACCCTGTCGGATCACCGAGTCCTCGACGCTGATTCATGTTGTTATGAGTGCTTGCGCATTTGTGCTTTGAGAAGGAGGGGGTGTGTGAGCAGTGGACCTTTCGTTTGCAGACCCTCGAGTGGCTTGTGGAGTGTGGCAGTTTGCTTCAGCGTGCGGCTTGGAACCCACGACGTTGGGGTCCTAGGGTGCTTCTGGTCAAGTCTTCAGCTTTCTTCGGGCTTTAGGGTTGTTGCTGTGCTTCACGAGTTTCTGACGTCATGGAGGCCTGCTACACCGCAAAAGCCCCCCCCCCCCCCCCCCGCTCAGCAACAGCAACATGAGCCAAAGCAAACCAAGTTGCCATCTGCGTCTTCTTGCTTCGACAGAATCTCGGGTGTCGGGACGCTCTTTTCAGAGCCCAAATGGCTGTCAGTAAAGACGGTTGGGGGCGACCAAACCCTTTCTTGCCCCAATCTCTGACTATGACGAAGTCCCACAAGCCCTTTTTGTGGATGCTAAACCCTAAACCCTAAACCCTAACCCTAAACCCTAATCCCTAATCCCTAAACCCTAAACCCTAAAGTCAAGTTAGACTCGACTCAACGAACAGGGGAACCTCCAAACTGCGATCCTTCCTTGGGTCGCAGGGCCTTGGGATCTTAGGGTTTGGGGAAATCCCGACTGAAACACCTTCCTGACGCTGAAGCACAGAAGCTCTACACCCAAAACCTTCCACACAAAAGCATCCCAAGTATGCCCCTGCCCCGCCATGCGGAGCTGCTCGGGCCGACTAATGGCCCGAATTCCTCCCAAGGCAGCTTAAGCTTGCTCGGGCTGCGCAGAAGGAGGGAACCATCAGGTGCAGTCGGAAAAGGTGCTTGATATCAGGAGTGCAGACTTTGTCCACGGTTCGTTGGCGTGCGAATGTGTAGGGTGTAGTAAGCCGTGCTGCTCACAATCGAGAGGTCACGACAGGATTGACTTGTTAAGGCTTTCTATCCGCAGTGCGGTCCTGGGTGGTCACGTCGACGTAGATCAGCCTGCAACGCAAAGCCCCAAGCCGCAGAATTCTTGTAATATAGGGGGCAGAATAATTAGAACAGTGTTTTGGGGGTTATTACTATAGTAGCTTTACAAAGGGGCCATAAGAGAATCTGAGCAATTATTCCGACACCCTATAGCAAGCGTGTGGTTCTGGTTTTGAGGCAAGGCTTCGTGTGGCAAGATTTCCCTGCTCCAAGCGACTCAGAGCAAGGTTAGGGGAGGAAAGGGCCCGTGAAATCAAACTTGCGGAGCCACTAAACTCAGGCCCACACAAGCCCTAAACCCTAAATGATCCGAAGCCAATTCTCGACGGTCCTCCCTTGAGTGTTTTTTACCGCGTCAAGAAGCCTGGGATACAAACCGCTACAATCACCGAAGACTGTTCCCCCAGGTTCTGATACGAAACCTCCTACTATAAGAGGCTTATTAAGTAGAATAGGGTTTTGGGGGTTTTACAACATTGGAGGGAATATTCTTTGTAATTATTCCAACCCCTATGGTAGCCTCCAAACCCCTGCTCCAAAACCCCCCTAGAGCCAAGCAAACTTTTTTGAACCCGTCCTAAGAGTTCGAGGGTTTGACAGCAAGAACAAGGCGGAAACCCTGCAACCCGATACCACCACGATTCCCCAAGCCGTATGGGGCTTGCGAAATTAGGGGTACCTTCCTGGGGACTAAACCCTAAACCGTAAACCCTAAAGCCGAAACCCTGAACCCTAAACCCTAAACCCTAAACCCTAAACCCCTTTTCGTACACCCCCACATTGAACCTTGAGCTCGTCTTAGACTCGTCCTTCTTCCTTCCTAAGCCAAATCCGAGAGCCTGGACACCGCATCTGCACAGAGAAGCTGCGGCGGGGCCTCACGAATCACCTTAGATGCGGGGATTTACGAAGATAGCCCTAAATAGTAGGATCCCCCTTATAGTAAGGACCACAATAAAGTACCTTCATTTCGGAAAGCGAGACAGGGAGATTCCTGATAGGAAATACCACCTCCTGTCTCCAAATTTCCGGGTCCAATTACAGAACAGACGTCAGTAGACGGGCACGACCTCGGGTGCTTCAAGAAGGGAATCGGAGCCAAAGCCCGAAAACTCTGGCCTGAAAAAGAAACAGGGTTTAGGGTTTTTTTTGGCCACCCGACTAGCCACAGTTTAGGATTTAGGGTCTATAGGCCTCTTTTCAGGGAGTATGCGATCACAGACCAAATCTTGGTTTTGATTCTGTTCGCTGAAATCCTAGATCCCAACCTCTGGTGCGCACTCTCCCGTGTCAACCACTAGATGCCAGCTCTTTCATGCTCGGGGGGGAGAAGTAGACGTCTTAAATCTTTGTGGTTCGATGGCGGAAGCCCTCAACTTCTATCATGCCCAACACATGCAATTCCAGCTGCAAATTGTCCATCCCAGCGTTGGTACGCCCACGTGCCTGCCACCGACGGTCAGGATTTCATGCGTGTCTGCAACATGAAAACACGATGCCTTACCTTTGCCGGTCTGTTCAGCTCTGCTCATGTGATGCAGCTGTGTTGTTCCACACGGCCGCTTGGCATGAACTGCATAGCATCTGAAAATATCTGAAATATATCGCGGGTCTTGGATCTCCAAGAAGCAACTTGAACTTCATGTTATGTGTTTTGCCAGCAGCCTAGCTACCACCCGCCAATCTCAAGGCACTCCTTTTTCAAACGCCTGCACAACGCCACATTGTTGCTGTGCTCACCCGGCTTCTGACACACACTGCATGCTTCACGCCGCCGTGCGACGTTCAATTCCCAAGTACGTGCTCGTGCAGTGCATGAGTAGCTGCTGCACGTGATCATAGCTTGGCGGCCGGGGGCCGCCAGAGTCGCTGATCTTATGATGCTTGCTTGGCGCAACGGATGCTCAAGATGCTCGCTTGGTGCCCCATGCCCCAACCAAGCCTCGTGAGATATGAGGAGCATCAGCTGCTGCGGGCCCAAGATCAGCTGCTGAGGTTTTGCCCGGGCCACCAAGCGAGCGTCATGAGCATCAGCTGCTGAGGCTTTGCCCGAGCACGTGCCACCAAACCAGCAACACGAGCATCAGTTGCTCTGGTGCTGTCCGGCACGGGCCACCAAGCAAGCATCATGAGCATCAGCTGCTGAGGCCTTGCCCGAGCACGGGCCAACAAGCGATCAGGTGCTCAGACTTTGTCCGAGCACGAGCATCGTGAGCTCAGGCCACGAGCCAACAAGCGAGCATCATGAACATCAGCTGCTCAGACTTCGGATCACGGCCACCACGCGAGCATCATGAGCATCAGCTGTTGATGCTTTGTCCGAGCACGTGCCACCAGGCAAGCATCATCAGCATCAGCTGCTGAGACGTTGCCCCAACCAAGCGAGCATCATGAGCATCAGCTGCTCCGGTGCTGTCCGAGCACGGGCCCAAGCGAGCATCATAAGCCACATCAGCTGCTGAGGCTTTGCCCGAGCATGGGCCACCAAGCGCGCATCATGAGCATCAGCTGCTGCATCAGCTGCTCTGACTTTGTCCGAGCACGAGGCCACCAAGCGACCATCATGAGCATCAGGCATCATGAGCATCAGCTGCTGAGTCTTTGCCCGAGCAACAAGCGAGCATCATGAGCATCAGCTGCTGAGTCTTTGCCCGAGCACGAGCATCAGCTGCTGAGGAATTGCGCGAGCACAGGCCACCAAGAGAGCATGCTCAGACTTTGTCCGAGCACGAGGCCACCGAGCGAGCATCAGGCATCATGAGCATGAGCTGCTGAGGCTTTGCCCGAGCACGCGAGCACGGGGCACCAAGCGAGCAGTATGAGCAAGATATCATGAGCGTCAGCTGCTCAGGTGCTTCAGCTGCTCAGGCTGTAAGCGAGCGGTGGTACCTCCTTTAAATCTCATGTGCCCCGGATCGCCCATGTTCTTCTCCTTCGATTTTTGGAAGTTTGCTAGAGTTGGAGGACCCAAAGCATTCCAAAGGGCGGATGCTAAAGCCACCAAGATCAACTGCGGCCTCCTCCCCGAAAGCCCTTGCGCCCGACCCTCGTGACTCCCGTCATCTAAAGATTGGCCTTCAAGGTGGCAGACCATCTCGTAGCCTTCGCAGTGCATGGCTTGGCTTGCAGGGGAGCCTTTAGGGCTTTTTAGGGCCTTCTAGGGCCTCAGGGGCTTGAGAACTCGACCTCGTCAGCAGATGGTCCTGTGTCTTGATGCTTTAGGGTTCGACCTCCCAACATGCACAACCACGTGGCCATGCGTTCATCACACTCTAGAAACAATTGTCCACGCTCGGTGGGGGGGGCCTGTGATGCGCCGGGAGGTGGTGTAGTGTCATTAGCACACCAAATCCTGGAAGGAAGCAGCCAGAAGCCACAATCACCACCCTAAGCCCTAGACCCTATATAAACCCTAAGACACCGAACTTCGCGACCATCCCCGACCACCCGGGCCTGTGATCTGCGCGGGCGGCACCAAATTATAGCGTCGCCTCTTCAAGGTTGATTCGAACTCCTCCTGGCGGGAGATCTGCTTCAGTATCCTTGAGATTCATAACAAAACAAAGGGCCATTTAAACAAACAAGTGGTAACCCCACAACGGCTGGCCTTTGATGCAGCGCTTTGTTGGCTTACACGCAAGTGCGACTGTTTTGAAAGCATCTCACTGACACTCGCATCAGGTTCCATCGGTCAGCGGCTTCTCCACGCAAGGCATTTCTCAATTCAGCACCCACGGACGCGCAATACGTAGCACTGAAGTTGCTGCTTAAATCTTCAAGAAGGGCAACTGATCTGAGCTAGCAGCCATAGAAGAATTCCATCGAAGAACTCCATCGGGTTTTGGATACTTTATCTTGCCATCCTTTCGGCTGGACCCCAACGCGAAACCGAAAGCCCACATGTTTCCCGAAGAACGGAGTTCAAAGTCCTGACCATGGTTGATCTGGATGATGTCCAGCGGCAATGCAGCTTCGTTGCGTGAGGCGTAGATTTCGCCTCAAGGTCCACTTCGCTTGGGCCTAAACCCTAAACCCTATAAGCTTCTAACCTTTCCGGATCGTTCAACGGGTCAGGAGTCAGAAGTGTCGACGGCACCCTCAGCTCATGCTACTCTCCCCATTCAATGTGTTCAGCCGTCTCCCCTTTTTCCAATTTGATTCTCACTGCGCTTCCCACCGCGGGGCCCTCAATTCGGCTTGAACATAATGCGGACCCATCAGGAGAAGTGCTTACCGTCTCGACAAACCAACATGTGCGCTGAAGCAGCAGCTTTTCGTCGCAAGCACCGTCCGAACTGAAAGCTTCGAACCCAGATTTCCCTCAACATTAATTAACTAAACCCTAAAAACCCCAAACCCTAAACCCTAAACCCCAAACAATCCGCAATGCTGTGAACAGGCGTCGCCCGCAGCCGGGGCGCGGCGACTGAAGCATCGCACCCGCGGCCAGCCTGGGTTGCAAGGGCCCCAGTGCACATTCTGAGCTCCTGAGGCTACCCGCTACTTTTAGGTTTCGGGCTTAGGGTTTAGGGTTTAGGGTTTAGGGTTTAGGGTGTGGGGTGTAGGGTTTAGGGTTTAGGGTCTATGGTTTAGGGGTTAGGGTACCCTTAAGATGAGATTGAGGCAAATTGAGGATCATGTTGACGGCCTGCCCAGTCCCCCAACGTCCTCTGGAGTCTTCGGGAGTTTGATCTGGAATGGCCCAGTCAATTCTGGTGGACTCTCGGTAGACTTTACAACCAGAACGTTGAACGAACCTGAACTGTCGCTCAACATGGCCGTAGCTTGCTGTAAGTTGAGGAACCTAAACATGCTAAGCTGATCTGTAGCTTCGGAGAAGCGAAAAAAGGGGAGACAATCCAACTCCAATATGCTCATCGCCTACACCTGCCTACACAAACGGTAAAGCTCTGAAGAAAAGTCTTACATGCACAGCAAAGTCTAGGAAAAAAAAGGTGGGTTGAGTCACCAGGAACCGAAAACACAAGAACCGAAATGAACAAAAGCCTTTGCGAGTTGAGATCCACCGCTTGCGATCTCACGTCGCCCCCAAGTAACCCTAAACCCTAAACCCTAAACCCTCAACCCTAAACCCTAAACCCTAAACCCGAAACCCCCGAAGTGCTGGCCAGGTCACTCTTTTCCAGTGCCCACGCCAGGGCTTGGCGAAAGATGCATCCGAGCCAAGATCCGCGCTCTAGAAGCCTCTGCGCTGGGTTCACTGCTATTTGCTCAAGGCAATGTATAATCATAATCCCTACGGTATATTGCCCTTGTAAGAAAAATGATTCTTGTTTTGGTAAGATAATGATCCCTATATTGCCCTAAAAAGCACGAAGCATAGCACACGTTAGAGCATCCACCGCCCTGACGGGTAGGTTGTGCGCCCTATTGCGCAGTCCTGCCAGCAGTGCTTTTCTTTTACAAAGAGGTGCCTTGAGAGCCCTCGCACTCTGAGGCCAGCCGGCCAGCTACAGCCTTTCCTTCGGTAGGAGCTTGTACCTCCTCCCGGAAGGGATGGACATGTACAGGTTTTGTTTGTCGCAATACCCTAGCGGTGTTGCGAAGGAGGAGTGTTGAAGCCTACTCCTGTACATGTCATCCTGTAGCAGATGTACCATGCATTTTTCCTTGTTGCTTATAGAATAGTATTTGTTATTCTTTGGGGGGTTCTTAAGCAAATAGTAGTATCCCTAAACCCTAAACCCTAAACCCTAAACCCTAAACCCTTGCGGATTTGAGGTGGGTGGGCTTTGGGGGGTTTGTGGGCAGTCAGTGGTGCTATCGATTCAATCCATGAGCAGCCCAGGGGTTTGGGGGTTTAGGGGTTTAGGGGTTTAGGGGTTTAGGGTTTAGGGTTTAGGGTTTAGTGTGTGTTTCACACGGATTCCTGCTAAAGCTTGATCGTCACTCATACGCATTACAGGTGTGTTCAAAGATCCTTCAAGCACTCGGGTGCCAGTACCGTGCCAGTTGTTTGCTGGTTCAGGGCCCTCTCTCCCAGACTTCCCGAAAACAGTGCAATGCCTAAGGACGGCCCAACGAGCGTGTAGAGCACACCCACGTCGAAGGTGAAGCTGAGATAGCCTAAGAGTAGTTTTTTGCAATAGGGTTTAGGGTTTCGGGTCTTGGGTTGAAGGCTTAGGGTTTAGGGTCAAGCAGGTGCTGCCTTGCAGGCAGATGAGGGCACAAACGAGACGTTTAGCCTAGGCGGCCGCTGAATGCCAGGACGTGTGGGGCCACTGTTTACGACTGGTGTCATCTGCGACTTCTGTAGCGATACGTAGGCTTTGTGCTCCGAAGCAAATTCAAATGCCCAGAACTCGTGCGAGATGCGCCTTAGGAATGCGCGACAAACGTACCATCACCAACAACAAGACCAACAACAAAACAACCAACGCCACCACCACCACCACCAGCAGCAGCAGCAGCACCACCACCACCACTAGCAACAGCACTAGAAACAGCACTAGCAACAGCACTAGCACCAGCACGAGCAATAGCACGAGCAATAGCACTAGCAATAGCACTAGCAATAGCACTAGCAATAGCACTAGCAATAGCACTAGCAAGATGAAAGGCAAAAGAATAAGAAGACGAAGAACTGCTTCCATACAGATGTGCATACGTTGTACAACCTCAAGACAAAGAAAAAGTGTAACCTTGTACTACGGGGAATCTTGCAAGGCTACACACAAAAAGTCAAACACCAAGCACGAAAACGGCAACGCACTCCTAAACAATAACCCTAAACCCTAGACCCTAAACCTAAACCCTAAGCCTTAAACCCTAACCCTGAAAACCCCAAAAGCCTCCCAACAAGATTCCTTTGCTCGGAGAGGTGCGCAAGGGGTCCACGATCTTCAGGCGCAATGCCGGATGTCGCTCGGCCAGGCGCCGTGTGGCCTGAGACGGGAATTCGCAATGGTTTTCAGGGTTTGTTTTTTTTTTGGGGTTTAGGGTTTAGGGTTGAGGGTTTAGGGTTTAGGGTTTAGGGATTAGGGTTTAGGGTTTTGGGAAAGCTTCGCTTCTAAGGTGACCATCCGTGACCTTCTAGGGTTGACGAGTTGGTGGAATTGGCTTTGAGGTTTTGGCGGGACGGTGCATCAGTGCTTGAGTCGGGCAGCTGCGAGGCTGTAGGCCTTTGGTGGAAGATTTCAGTTTAGGGTTTAGGGTTTAGGGTTTAGGGTTTAGGGTTTAGGGTTTAGGGTTTAGGGTTTAGGGTTTCGGGTTTCGGGATCAAGAGATGGTGTTCAACAACACGAAGGGACGAAATAGAACTAGTTGCTGCAACTGGTTGCCTCAAATCACTTTCGAAACATCCCTTCCCTCAAACCCCATTATGCGGAGCAGTCAGGCCAAGAGAGAACTTCTTCCTCGAAACATTGGTACGCGACGTGAGGCAACACTATCTACAGAGGCACAGAAACTCTCTTGAAGACTATTAGGGCCCCATATATATATATATATGTATACCATGTAAGGGAATATATAGAGACTATTAGGGCCCTCTATATACCCTTTGAGGGATTATATAGAGACTATTAGAGCCCTCTATAATTATACCCTTTGAGGGATTATGTAGAGGGAAATAGGGTACCTCATTCCCCCGTCTCCCTACGAACCAACAGTAAGAGGAGGGCGGAAAGAAGACAATGCATCACCTGGCCTCTGTCAACGCTTCATGGTTCAACCTCTCCAAGCTCTGCAAGAAGGGTTTAGGGTTTAGGGTTTAGGGTTTAGGGTTTAGGGTTTAGGGTTTAGGGTTTTCAGCATGCTTCGGCTGTCAGAGCGGCACTTGTTCATACTTTTTCTGGGGGGCTTACAGTTTGAGGGGACCTCAGATTTGGAGATGCGCGCTCAGGGACGAAGGCTTGAGCGATGAAAGTTTCAGCTCTCGGACACTCCCAAGCAATTTGCCGTCAGCGGCTTGGCTCGCTGAAGTTAAGCTACGTTCTACCACGGATGCAAGCCGTGGTTCAAAAAGAGCTGGTGTACAAGATGTGCGGCCTCAAGGACAACAAATGGCTCCGACTTTTCAAGGGCCTACCACAAGGAAGAACATCTAACCATCACCAGCCATCCTCGAAGCCCTCAAACCTTGCGGGAAGCTGGCCGGTGCCTTCCGTGACCCCGGAGCACCCACTGGCCCATGGGGGACACCTGCCGAGTGGTTTACAGCATTTGCGTCTTTACGCGTTAGTGGTCCGAGCTCTGTCTGCAGTCTGTTGTTGCGGGCAATTTACGAGTCAGTTATTGCTGTCCTCTCGCCCACCTCTCAGCATCCACAACACTGCTGCACGACACACAGGCTCGCTTGCGAACGCTTTGCGGGTGTCCAGATCAGCTTCAGATAGAAACACTTCCGGTATGCCAGTATGCATTGACAGGACTTTGAACGCTTCCCTTTGCCTGGCCAGGGGAGAACCAGATGGCATATTCCTTGCCGACGTCCTCCACAGAAGAAGAAAGAAGGCCCCACAACTGAAGCCTACACTATCGCGCCACCTACTTTGGGACTGAAGTTACTGGAATACAAGGCCCGTCAAGCACTTGACAAATCACCAAGAACTACTGCACCCAGCAGCCCCCACCCCCAACTCCTCTGGCATCGCACCGACGACGGTGTCGCATGCGGCCACGCGTGGGGCGACAGCGACAATCTCTGCGAGCCTTTGAGCGGGTGAGCTCAGCCAACGCTGTCTATTTTGGTTGGCTATGCAAAGCCCTCTGTTTAGGGCCAGGGCAGTTGGGAAGGGGGGGCGGGGGGCTTCCAAACCTGAACTTGTATGATGATGCGACTGGGACGGCCTGACCCCAAACCATCCATAGCTCACTCGCTAGGGGCGATGATGAGCACCTATTGCGCACATAATCCGCTGGGAACGAGGAATCAGCACTTACTTACTTCCACCACTGGACACTATAGACGAACAAGTCAGCTTACCTTGGGGACCCTAAAAATTGGGGTCATATATCCTGTACTACTATAATTCCTGTTAGAGTATATTAGCATATATGAGCCATAAAGCCTTTTAGGGTTCGTTTGGTCTCCAAGGCTTACACACTCCGCTTCGGCCCGCATCAGAAATTGATGCAGCTGTCTAGCAGAAGCTGTTGGCATTGACTAGCAGACAAGCCTGAAAACATGCAGTGATCCAGCATTCTCCAGTCGCTACAAGTAACACAACAACGCTACGAGAAGTTGTCCACACCACCGAATCTACGGCTTCTCAAGAGCACAGCAGGTGCGTTGTGGGCTTGCTACACGAAAAAAAAGAACGCCAGATGGCGGAGCAACTCATGTTATGATCCCTCACCCCTGTTAGCTGAAAGAGTCCTCAAACCCTAAACCCTAAACCCTAAACCCTAAAACCCTAAACCCTAAACCCTAAAACCCTAAACCCTGAACCCTAAACCGTGGCCGAAGGATGCCCAAGGGACTCTTTGGCAGTCCGCACTTCGCGGATGCGCGGCGCGGGAACCATGCCTGCTTCTCTAGACAATAAGCGCCCAAAAGTTGGAACATCATTGTCCTTATACCCCAAGAGTACTGCTAAAGGGAATCTCAGGACTCATCGTCATTAAACCATGTTCCAACTTCGTGGAGTTTACTGCAAGGCGAAGACCCTCTACCCCCCACAGTTATGGATGGCTGCAGTCCCTCTCTCGACCACCTGCTCTACGCCGGAAGACACGACTCGTGCGTGATCTCTTGTGAAATGAACGGGCGGCTTGGCGGAAGACCAGAGCATTTCACCCACTCTAAAAAATCTCTAAAACCTAAAAGCTTTCTTCCCCTGGGCTTCCCTTCTCCTAGTCTGTCAATGGAGTCTGCACGGGCCAGAAGCAGAACATCAATCTTTCTGCGAAGACGAAGACAAACCGAGACGGAAGGCTAGTACAGAGCTGCCATTGTGTCACCATTCTGGCTTTCCGGACCAGCCCTGCCTACCTGGCTTTGAACCCTGAGGCCCCGGCAGCCAAACTCATTTCCTCAGCAAAGAACACAACTTTGCTGCCCAAAAACAGTCGCTCAGGAAGGTCAGTGCAGGCAGGAACTTTCTCAGATGATTGGGCTTGAGGTCTGGGAAAGGGGATCCGCAGACATCCGAAGGCTTTTGCCAACTTTCGCCCCTGCCCACAAACCGAAGACCCCACCCGCACCACCCCCGCAACAAGCCACTGCATGGTGCCCCTGCGACATAGTGCAACCCAAGGATCGGAGCTTGTTGGCCAACCGCGCGATGCGTAAGGAGTCCAGACCCAGCAGAACACCTGACAAACTTCAGAGGCTTATAGGGTTTAGGGTTTAGGGTTTAGGGCTTAGTGCTAGGGCTTGTAGGGCCCAGGATTGGTATGGCTTGAACACCTTGGCATAGCTCCGCTTTTCATCGTGTGCTGCTGTCAGTCCTCTGAACGCCCATGTCACGAATCAACACCCCCTGCACTTAAGGGGAATAAGGTCCCTGAGAAGGCCTCCTTTAGTCCCTTGATACACTTGCTAGAAAACATGGCAGAACAATCAGCACCCTTACGGAATACAGGGGGCCTCAAAGACTCGAATAGGTCTTTTTGTTGTTGGGCGGGGGGTTCTTCTAGTATCATCATATAGGGGCCCGAAGGGAATAGCAATTCTCTTCGCAACTCTTCCGACCCCTAGCCTGAAACGCTTTTCCGCCGAAAGGCTCGAAGGGGTGACGGGGCGCAGGAGCGGCTCCACCTCGCCAAGTGCCTGGGCTGCCACGAGGAAGCTCGAGGCCCCCAAGGTCGCTCCGCAACCCCCGGACATTACATGGGGTTTAGGGTTTAGGGCTTAGGGTTCAGGGTTTAGGGTTTAGGGTTGTCTCTTTCCGAGGGGTGCTTACTGATAAGGGGGCCGCAGCAGATAGGGGACCCACAAAGGGTCCCTCATGCAGAGAACCCACAGTACATTCTTTTCTTGCTTCTGCTGCCACAACAGCAAGAGAGCGGTTTTGACCATAGGGAAGCCAATCTTGCTCCTCTAAACACCTCGTAAGCATCCCCATGCTATGTGCAAGCCCTTGGGGCAGGGTGAGAAGATGCAGGGTTTAGGGTTTAGGGTTTAGGGTTTAGGGTTTAGGGTTTAGGGTTTAGGGTTTAGGGTTTAGGGTAGGATCTTGAGGTTACTTGGGCCCCCTTCGGTCTCGAAAAGCCGGGTTCTAAGTGCAAACTGGTTCAGGACACCTCAGCACACTTCGTGGGCCGTGGGACCTCCTCTTCGACAAGCATCCGGGGATCGAAGCATCCCAGCAGTGGCTTCATCTTTGGCCAGAAGAGGACATGCAAGCACCGCGGGGAACAAAACGCATCTCTGCCCTTCTTTTCCGACTCGGAATGCCTTCTCAGCCGGGCTTTGTAAACTTTGAAAGCCCAAGTTGAAAGCACGGTGAGACTGGCATGGAACGAACCCAGGACCTTTAAGCTTAGGCTTTTAGGCTTTAGGGCCGGGGGAGACAGTAGGCGCTCTCCGAAGGGCCCAGCCCCAACCGCGACAACACCTGAAGTCTTGACTCAATCGGTTTAGGGTTAGGGTTTAGGGTTCAGGGTTTAGGGTTCAGGGTTTAGGGTTCAGGGTTTAGGGTTTAGGGAGCTGCAAACAGCGGTCCTATCAAAGCCCAATGCATAACCAAAACCCATCCAAAACCAGCCCCTCTCCCATGAGCGAGAAGGGAAACCCCGAAGCCTCCAAAAGCCAAAGCTCTCGACAACCCTTACACTGCCTTACCCTAAACCCTAAACCCTAAACCCTAAACCCTAAACCCTAAACCCTAACCCCCTAAGCCCTAAAACCTAAGCCGCTCAGGCCGACAGCTTCTGGTCGCCTACGATCCACGGGGCCTCCTCGACAGCATCGTTTAAAGCTGGTGCTGCACTTAGCTCTGGGAGACTTCGACGTGCAGGAGGGTTTAGGGTTTAGTGTTTAGGGTTTAGGGTTTAGGGTTTAGGGTTTAGGGTTTAGGAGCTTCGGAATTGAGGTCAAGAGTCTGGCATCGAGGCGATGTGTTCTGTGGCTGTGGGGCTTCGGCTTGCCTTTGAAGTTGCCTTTGAGGAGTTCTTTGCGCTTCACAAGGAATGCCCTGCAATTCCAATTGGTGCCTTGATATGTGGGCCCGGAGCGTCTTACCTGATGCCACAATGTGCGTTTAATGCTGCTGGTTCCCACCCCTGTTGACAATCTGTGGCTACGAAATGATGGCTTAGCTTTTGCAGCCGGCCAACGCCGGCGTGTCTCAATCCCTCTCCGCGGATAGCTGTCTTGAGTGTGGCTGGACCAATACCCTCAGCCTGGAAGCCTTGCCCTCGCACAGCCGCCAGACTACTTCATCCCCCCCCACACTACCGACAGTAGGTCCAATCTTCGAGAATCCAATCTGGCGGCGGAGCCTCGGGAAGCAAACTCTCCTCGACAGGGAGGCTGCTGACGGTCAGCGGCGTGTTCTCCTTGATCCGAGGTTGCAGATCGCGGTTTTTGTAAGTTGACCGCTCCAGTGAACCAACCGAACTCGAACCCCACCAAGCTCCATTTATAGTGCAAAGCCTGGAGAAAGGGGACTTTAGGGCTACTTTGAAGGTTCTACTTTTAGTCGTGGCTGAGCTTGGCCACCAGACATGACTTCAACCAAAAGCGGCTGACATAGGGCCTACTGCAAGGTACGGGCTGTGCAGTCACAATGACGAACCTGGCTTCGCCGAGCATCTGCGTGCTGCACGCGCGAGACGATCCTGAGTTGCACGTCCCTAGAAAAAACGGCCCGACGGCCCGCGACACACACACACACACACACACACACACACACACACACATTGGCTTGGCTGCAGCCCATCTCAGCCCCTCAAAGAGTATCCTCACACGCAGAATCGCATCGAGTGAGGATTCCAGATCCCCTCTGTGCCGATTTTCTGAGGTAATAGGCGACTTGAGTATGCGGGGGGGGGGGGGGGGGGTTCCAAACTCCAGACCAATGTCAGCATCTGCTTTGGGGGGTTGAAAGCTCCTGTTGGGCCTGCAGTTGGGGGGGGAGCCTTGTAAGGGATTCTATGGTGTATGGGAGTATATATGAGAGAAATTCTGCAGTTCTGTGAGCACTGCGGGCTCCGCCCTGAACTGCCTGGCCTGAACCTGCTCCGAGTGGCTGAAGGGTGCACAGGGTCTCACCCACGAAGCAGAAAGGCTTCCGCAAGTGTGCAATCCACACCTTGCTGCGAGAACCAGGGCTTTGATTGCTTTAGAGGCTGCAGCATCAGACATGTCAGAATCTTTGCAGCTTCTGGAATACTTCACCCTAAACCCTAAACCCTTGTTACATCCAGGCCTCATGAAGTCTGCCGGGTAAGTATGCTGACACACCCTAAACCCTAAACCCTAAACCCTAAAACCCTAAACCCCTAAACCCCTGAACCCTAAAACCCTAAACCCCTAAACCTTCCACTGCAACTCAGGGTGCCGTCTTCGTGTTGCCCCCGAGGGACCTCAGATCGATGTAGGTCCAGCAGGGCCACCAGGGGCCCCCATTTAAGTCATGGGTTCCCCTTGCTACCCCCTCTACACGGGTTTAGGGTTTAGGGTTTAGGGTTTAGGGTTTAGGGTTTAGGGTTTAGGGTTTAGGGCCCTCTATACTGCCCCCCCCCCCCCCCCCCGGGTTCCCCCCTTAAATAACATTGATTAGCCTTAATAGCCTTGATTATGGGGGAAACTAGGGGGTGCAGTATAGAGGGGGGCAAGTCGGGGAACCCATGAATAAGGGATGGAATCAGCGGCTGTGGCTCTGCTGGCTTTCCCGAGACAGGTCGGTGTACCGACCCCGGCGCCCACTACGAATGGAAGCTCTGAGCGAAGTACTTCTCAAGGGCTCAGCACGCAAGCTGCTCCTCTGCGAGATTCGGGCATGCCAAGCATGCTCAACACCGATAAAGATCTAGCCATGATGGACTTTCAGCTATTCCGCAGGTGCCATACAGTCCAGTCCGGGGGAGCAGTATTAGAGTCTCTTGTCTCCTCACGGGCCTTTGGCTTCGCAGAACTCTGCGCCAGCCGGTTGCAACCCGCAGATGCTTCGCTTGCGCGTCAGAAAGGCACGCTCGCAGATTGCTGATGAATGCCCTTGCTGCCTCCGAGGTGCTCTTTCAGAAGAGTCGTGAGGCACGAGTTCCTCGTTGCGAAAAAGACATCAAGGCAGGCTGCAGCAGAGACAAGCGTGGCCTACCCTAGGCCCTAAACCCTAAACCCTAAACCCTAAACCCTAATTCCTAAACCCTAAACCCTAAACCCTAAACCCGAACCTTGAGTCCTATAGGTTCTCAAGCTCAAAGCCCCGAAGCCCCCTGCTGGCCAATAAGCACAGCATGGCACAGCGACTTGCGCACACCCCCAGGTGCTTACGTCCTAGCTGGGAATTCTAAACCCTAAACCCTAAACCCTAAACCGGGGTTTTGATGCTCAAGCCCATGAGACTCGACATGCACCGAGCCACCGGTATGGGACGTGCGGGCTGGGCGGCGCAAGCGCAGAGATGACCTGGTCTTTGAGGTTTTTTCGGGATCTCTGAGTCGCGATCATCCCTCATTCCTCTCGGCTTCCATCTTTCATGTCTAATAGGGCGCATGATACAACAGGTGTACTGCCCCAGATGTTCGCACTTCACGATGCGTTTGGCAGAGCCGTATATGCGTAAATGCAAGCCGGCGCCGGCGCGCTCGGCAAGGAAAAGTGAGGGAGGGTTTAGGGTTTCGGGTTTCGGGTCACAAGGGTTTTGGGTTTAGGGATCAGGGTTTAGGGATTAGGGAAAGCTTAGGGTAGGGGTTCCTTTTTCCAACTTGGCACTTGGCCCGAAAGCACCTTTAATCAGCTTGGGGTTACCAATCCTTACACAAGCAAGCTTGGAATGCTCCCCCCTTATACTAACAGTCCCCCCTTATTATAGTCCCTATTAAGGACTGTTGGTAACATCCCAAAAGCAAGCCAACACGACCGAGCAAATGAAGTGCTTGGCATGCCGTGGGGAGGTTTAGGGCTTTTTCTTTAGGGTTTCGGTTCAGCAAAGCTTTCCATTGTGCATCAAGCCACCTTCGCCTTTTGACGTTAGGCTTGCAGCTCATGGCTACAAACGACCTATTCAATTGGTGTGACCGCGCGGCATCGTTCAGCGAGCTCAGATGCTTGCCTGGGCTTCAGACATACAGGCCTCTCCGCTCTCAACAAGTGCGCAGGTCTCTCAAAGAGGAAGCCGGCTTTGAGCGGGCCGAAATCAGACATCTCATGCACGTGCTGGTCTCACTATGACATGGCTGACTAGCAGCGGTGCCACGGTTTGTTGTTGGGCGGTCCTTTCGCGGAGTAGCAATGGAGGGAACCCGAAGCCCGAGTGATGGCCACTAAAGTTCGGCACCTCGAACGTTTAATGTCGGATAATGTTGAAGACCTGGTCAAAAGCAGGCCTGCTGAAACCGGACCTGACTCAGCAAGTTCCGAGTCTAGACTAGATAGCGTCCTGCATGTTCTGGAGTACAAAGGGGTCATCTCGGAAACACCTGGGCCCCAACTCCAAACTTCAAGGCTCCGCCTGGCTAAACGGGATGGAAGATTGGTTTTAGGGTTAGGGTTTTTCTTTGCCACCCGCTTAGCTGACCTCTCGGACACAGGGTTTAGGGTTTGGGGTTTAGGGTTTAGGGTTTAGGGTTTAGGGTTGTTGTTGCCCACAACTAGGTTTCAGG